CCCTGCCCGCCGGGGCTCCCCGTCGCCCCGTCCCGGCCCCGCTCGGTGCGCAAGCACACCGCGGCTCGGGGAAAGGGAGCCAAGCGCCGCGCGTCCCGGCCGCCCGGGCAGCGCTGCCTCCTTGGCCGGGATTTAAAAGCCCGTAAGCCCTATTTTTTCGGGTAAAGTTTCCAAGTTCGGCTCGCCTACAAACTCAATTTAAAGCAGTAAATAAAGTTAAATGCCTTTTATTTTCCTCTTGAATATGTTAAACTACTTGAACAATTTAAAGTGCTTTGCAGAAGTGAAGCGAACCATTTCTAATGTTCTGATTTTTCAAAGCCAGCCAACAACAAAGTTTAGATTAGTAATATATTTCTAACCAGAGTAATTTTCAAGATCATTAGGCATTTATGTAATTAGTGCCAAATCTATAAGCTTTTATTACGATTATTAGAGTAAAATCAGTATAAATTTGTACTAATTTACTACTGTTTAGACTTGGCTGGGAACTTGGCTGTCAAGCCAAGAGGTTCTTATTGTAAATGATAACTGAGGAAATTAAGTGCAAAATTCTGTACCATTTCTGATCCGCTCCTAAACAATCCGTTTCAATTGTATTTGTAGCAGAACATAATGCCCTTTTAAAGTTATTTGACTTGTATTTTTATTTGCAAAACAAGAAAAATACCCTCTACCCGGGCACAATGAAAACTGATATTTACTACTTCCAACTTGATTAACATTGATTTTTAATTCAAAAGTGATGCAATTAAGATTATTCATTTAGTGCAAATAAAGCTCCCACCAAAAAGGGAGCCCAGTGAAGTCTGTGTTAAATAATACAGAGCCAATGCTCCCTCCTCAGGCTACATTGATTCAGCTCAGCTTCCGAGACGTCGGGCTGTTGCAGTGAACCTGGGTGCCCGAGAACGGCCGCTAAGAGCAGGGAGAGACACCCAGAGCCGGGCCGCAATTTAGCTGGAGAGAGAGAGAAAGAAAGAGGTGGAGGTGGGGTGGGGGTTTCGGGATTTTTTTCTTTTTTTTCCCCGGTTGGATGGGGGACGGCGGAGATGGCTCATTTGTTTTGCTTTTTTCCTTTGAAAATTATTGCCTGCGCGCAGCTCCAGGGCAGGAGGGGAAGCCCCGGCGGTGAAAATTCTCTTGAGCC